GGCCCCCTAGGGTTTCCAACCCTAGGCGCCTTGGGCCCTTGGGTGGGGCGCACCAGCCCACCAGGGTCTGGTTCCCACGCCACTTCAGCCCATGGGGCCCTCCGGGATAGGTGGCCCCACCCGGTGGATCCTCGGGACCCTTTCGGTGGTCCCGGTACAATACCGGTGAACCTCGAAACTTTCCCAATGGCCGAAACCTGACTTCCTATATATAATTCTTCACCTCCGGACCATTCCGGAACTCCTCGTGACGTCCGGGATCTCATCCGGGACTCCGAATAACTTTCGGGTTACTGCATACTCATATCTCTACAACCCTAGCGTCACCGAACCTTAAGTGTGTAGACCCTACGGGTTCGGGAGATATGCATACATGACCGAGACGCCTCTCCGGTCAATAACCAACAGCGGGATCTGGATACCCATGTTGGCTCCCACATACTCCTCGATGATCTCATCGAATGAACCACGATGTCGAGGATTCAATGAACCCCGTATTCAATTCCCTTTGTCAATCGGTACGTTACTTGCCCGAGATTCGGTCATCGGTATCCCAATACCTCGTTCAATCTTGTTACCGGCATGTCACTTTACTCATACCGTAATGCATGATCCCGTGACCAGACACTTGGTCACTTTTGAGCTCATTATGATGATGCATTACCGAGTGGGCCCAGAGATACCTCTCCGTCATACGGAGTGACAAATCCCAGTCTCGATCCGTGTCAACCCAACAGACACTTTCGGAGATACTGTAGTGCACCTTTATAGTCACCCAGTTATGTTGTGATGTTTGGTACACCCAAAGCACTCCTACGGTATCCGGGAGTTACACGATCTCATGGTCTAAGGAAAAGATACTTGACATTGGAAAAGCTTTAGCAAAACGAACTACCCGATCTTGTGCTATGCTTAGGATTGGGTCTTGTCCATCACATCATTCTCCTAATGTTGTGATCCCGTTATCAATGACATCCAATGTCCATAGTCAGGAAACCATGACTATCTGTTGATCAACGAGCTAGTCAACTAGAGGCTCACTAGGGACATGTTGTGGTCTAAGTATTCACACGTGTATTACGATTTCTGGATAATACAATTATAGCATGAATAAAAGACAATTATCATGAACAAGGAAATATAATAACAATCCTTTTATTATTGCCTCTAGGGCATATTTCCAACAGTGTTGCCATCAAAGTCAATGATGAGGTAGGCCATTACTTCAAGACAAAAAAAGGCCTACGACAAGGTGACTCCATGTCCCCAATGTTATTTAACATTGTTGCTGACATGTTGGCTATTCTGATTGAACGTGCAAAGCAGGACGGCCAGATTGCAGGAGTAGTGCCACACCTTGTGGATGGTGGCCTCTCTATTTTGCAATACGCCGATGACATAATTCTTTTTATGGAACATGATCTGGACAAGGCTCGAAACCTGAAACTCTTGCTTTCAGCGTTTGAGCAAATGTCGGGTCTCAAAATAAACTTCCATAAAAGTGAATTGTTCTACTTTGGAGAAGCCTTTGAGGTGGCGACCGATTATGTTGACCTTTTTGGTTGCGCACATGGACAATTCCCGATTAAATATCTGGGAATACCGATTCATTATCGACGCCTCACCATTGCGGAGTGGAAGCATGTAGAGGAGCCTCTAGAGAAACGGTTGAGCAGTTGGAAAGGTAAACTGCTCTCGGTTGGGGGACGGTTGGTTTTGATTAACTCGGTCCTCACAAATATGGTTCTCTATATGCTTTCTTTCTTTCAACTCCCAAAAGGGGTCTTACAAAGACTGGACTATTTTAGATCTAGATTCTTTTGGCAAGGAGACGGTGAAAAGAAAAAATACAGACTGACCAAATGGAGTGTGGTTTGTAGGCCCAAAGACCAAGGTGGCCAGGTCAAGAATGAGGCTCTACTCAGTAAATGGTTATTCAAACTTCTTACTGAGGATGGTGTTTGGCAAACCATACTGCGTAACAAGTATCTAAGCCAAAAGGCGGTGTCCCAGGCATTTTGGAAACCCGGCGACTCACACTTTTGGGTTGGCCTAATGGCGACAAAGAAACATCTCTTTCGCTTTGGGTCTTTCGCGATAAAGGACGGGTCGGAGATTCGTTTTTGGGAAGACATATGGCTAGGCAATGACAGTCTCCGAGAACAATATCCAGCCTTATACAACATTGCTCGCGATAAGAATAATACTATTGCACAGGTGCTCAATTCATCCCCACCGAATATTTCGTTCAGACGGGATTTGATTGGCCCCCGACTTGTGTCATGGCATAATCTTTTATCCAGGTTGGATTCGATTAACCTGACAAAAGGCCGTGATGTGTTTCGCTGGAACCTTACTACATCTGGGTCTTTCACTGTAGACTCTATGTACCGTGCGCTCACACATTCTGAGGTACCTGTTAGTAATAACAAGAAAATTTGGAAGTCCAAGATTCCACTAAAAGTGAAAATTTTCATGTGGTATCTTCGTAGGGGAGTTGTGTTAACTAAAGACAACCTCGCACGACGCAACTAGCAAGGGAGTAAGAAGTGTTGTTTTTGTACTCATGACGAGACAATCAAACACCTCTTTTTTCAACGCAAGTTTGCACGTTCTACGTGGTCAGTCATCCAAATAGCGTCAAATTTGCATCCACCCATAAGTGTTGCCAATATTTTTGGCCATTAGTTGGACGGTATTCCAAATAGTTTCAAAACGCTAATAAGGGTGGGAGCGTATGCCTTAATTTGGTCGCTTTGGCTATGTGGAAATGATTTGATTTTCAATGGAAAAAATGCTTCTTCTTTGCAGGTTATTTTCTGGTGTACGCACTCGCTACGTACGTGGTCTATTCTACAACGACCGGAGTACCAACCGCTGTTCAAGGCGGTGTGTACGCGATTGGAGCAGGTGGCTATGGAGGTTTTTTTCCGACATGGGTGGCAGCATAACCTTTGGATCGACCCACCACCTCCTTCGACATAGGCATAGTGTCGGTCTATAGGACTCTACTGTTGCCGTTTTGTCGGTTTTTATTTGATGATTTTTTTGGTCGGACTTTCGGATTTGGCTGTGTGCATCTTAGTTATGCAGAGGCCGGGTGTTACTCATAATGCTTTATTCCACTTGATACTACATTTTGAATTAATAAAATCGTCCTTTATCGAAAATATCTGAAGCTATGTTGGACGATTTTTATCAAATCTGTCTTTAAAATTTCCTTTAACCAGTAGCGTCACCTCCTTGTTTCATGCGACTTTCGTGTTCTGAGTTTTTGGCCTATCAAACGCCTCCTTGATGCACGAGGCATTGTCTCTGATTCCTCGTAGACTTTTCTGGGAAGACCTTCGACCACTTGCAGGCCTCCGTACATTAAATGCACCAACCGCTTATCTCTGTTCACCCTCGTTAGGCACGGCCAGCTAGCAGTTGCTTGCGGCCGCACGTTACGAGAGTTCCATACGCCCAACTCCACACCACGCAAGTGGTTGGATTTCGTATGCGTCGGGTACAAATCGGTGGGCGGAGCATTTTGCCTGCTGCAAACCACACATAAATTCGTTTCAAGCTGCCTCTGCTCCCTGGTAACCACATCAGAAACTATCACCGTTTTGGTTTTTGGCGGGATCAAACGCTGGCACTGTGGATGGTGTGTCACGCTCCTTACCCGTGGCATACGCACCGTGGAGGAGCAATGAAGAAGCCGGCGACGACGTGGACACAATGCCAACAACAGGGGATATGTGGCCCGTTGCGCCGTACACATACATGTTCACCTCCACGAACAAATCCCTTCTGTGATTGCCTGTCAGCCCATCACCTCCGACGGGCCCACGTGCAAGCGAGCCGGGCCCACGGAACCTCTTTGGGTTAAACTATTGCGCGCGCGCACCCCTCGCGCCTCGAAAGCGACACACACGCCCACACACCAGCACGCGCAGTGGCATCGCAGCTGCTAGCTCCGCCGAGCTCCCACGCCCGCCCATGGCCATCGTCGCCGCGGCGCCGTTCCGGGAGGCGCCCGACGACGTCGTGGACGAAATCCTGCTCCGCCTGCCGTGCCCCTCCTCCCTCGTGCGCGCCGCCGCGGCCTGCGCCTCGTTCCGCCTCCTCGTCTCCTCCCCGTGCTTCCTCCGCCGCCACCGCGCGCTCCACCCGGGCGCGGCGGCGCCCTTCCTCGGGGTCTTCTCCTCGGTCCCCGCGCCAGGCGATTCGGGGGGCGCTTTTCACCCCTCCGACCCGCCCCATCCGGCCGCGGCGGCCGCGCGCGACGTCGCCGGAGCCGCGGACTTCTCCTTCGCGTTCCTCCCGGCGCCGCCCGACGCCGCCACCGGCGCCGAGCGCCCCGGTTGGCTCGTCCGGGACTACCGCGACGGGCGCTTCCTCCTCGACCGGGCGTCCTCCTGCTCCACCTTCGACAGCGACATCGTCACCGATCTCGCCGTCTGCGACCCCTTGTCCCGCCGCTACGTCCTGCTCCCGCCCATCCCGGAGGACCTCGCCGCCAGCGCCAACAACCCGCTCGGCGTCCTTGGCGGCCGGCGCTGGTGCGAGCCATTCCTCGCGCCGGCCGACGCCGAGGGGGACAAAGACGAGGAGGAGCCCTCGTTCGTGGTGATCTGGACGGCGCGGTGCCCGAGGAAGGTCGTGGCGCTCGCCTTCTCGTCGCGGGAAGGGCGGTGGCGCGCGCTCCCGTCGCCCGACTGCTTCGTCTGGAGGCGCCACCGGTCGCCCTTCTCCTGCCCGGTGCACGCGGTCTGGAACCGACGGCACTACGCGCACGGCCGCTTCTACTGGGCGGACTGCCTCACCAACCGCTGGCTGGTGCTCGACATCGGCGCCATGGAGCTCTCCGTCCAGGAGGTCCCGGCGCCGGCCAGGTTCTGGGAGGAGAACGTCGCCGTCGTGGAAGGCGCGAACGGCGAAGTCGGCGTGTTCGCGCACGAATTCTACCACGCCGACGGCAACGCCAGCCTCAACTACTACACGATCCCGCGCGACGCCGACGGCGTGGCGAAGTCGTGGCGGCTCGAGAAGACGATCCCACTGCCGTGGTCCACGGCGCACGGCCGGCCGTTCTGCATCCGCGGCGCGGCCAACGGGTGCCTGGTCATTGAGGTCAACCAAGACTCGCCGCGGCCGTTCATGTCGTCGAGCCACGACAGCCGGGACGTCGAGCTGTTTAAGATCGACGTCGGGCGCCTCGAGCTGGAGAGAGTCTGCCGGGCGCGGTGCTCCGGCGGCGTCAGCGACGGCTGGTGGCCGTACTTCGGCTTCCCGCCGTTGCTGAGCTTGCCAACTGTTTGAGTCGCATCGCCAAATACTTCAGGAAATTCCGCAGCATCTTGTGTGTAAGCCTCGAAGGTAGTGTACCGGTGTGGCACATGAATGTAACTGGAGGCGGGCAGTTTGTGTTGGTCTTTGTATAAGCATTTTCAGTAATACAGTTACAGTGCAGGTGTACAGTTCGTACAGCAAACCGAAACAAGTGTACAGTATATAACAGGTCATTGGCAACCACCAGAGACACCAGTTTGAATTATTGGTCTTGGCATCATAACTTTCAGAAATGCAACGCAGGAATACAGTTCATTACAGCAAACCAGAACAAGTATACAGTATATCAGGTTCAGAGTTTTCATTTTTTTTTATTTTCCAGTACAGCACATAAATCCCCATACGATAAAAAATGAACAAGCTACTAACAGAGACACTTTCTTATTTTCTTCTTATGTTCTACCCTGTCCCTGACCCACCCCCATGGTCTATTTCTTCTTCATCTCTACACAAACAAACACCAGTAAACTTTATTTGATTGTACATAACAAAGAACTATTCATGGATACGATGTCAGGCGTTTGCGAGATCTATGCCAACCTCCACTGCATGTTTATATTGCTCTTTGCCTTCTTGAAAGATCGCCGAGGGCCTGCTGAGGACGATCCAGCGCCACGAGCAGATGGTCCACGCCCTGTTGGAAATGATCTAGCATCATGAGTTCTTTGAAGCATTGTTCTGGAGTCCACCAGGCCAGTCACAGAATGTAGAGCGAGGCTCTCCACGAAAATCCCAGCTGATATGATGCACTCGCCAAAAGGCATGTTGAGATAGGAACCACTCCCATCCTGAAGATCAACATAGTAGAATCTTCTTTGGTTGCAATAGAAGAGCTTATTGTTGTGCAGGAAAAGTGGCCTCATGCCCAAAGGTAGCACAAAAGCGACGTTGCACATGTGGTCCCAGACTGCACAGGTCGAGTTCGCCACCCAAATCTCAGAGGTTTTAGGTGCTGATCCCTCACCGGGCATTGCCAGCAAATGAAGCTTTCCTCCCCCCTCAAACAGGTGCAATTCACGGTCTTTTACAGCATCAGGGACAGCAGTTTCTGAGAACATCTCATCTGTCAGGTTGAACGACAAGATGTTCCGAGTAAAATGGGAGGATATCTCATCAAGAAGTAGCCAATGCATGACATCATTAACAATGACCGCCTTTGTTGTCTTCAGGAGGGCTGCGGATTCGCGCACTGCCCTCCATGACTGTGTGCCAACAGTGCATACTTCAAATGTCAAGAACCGCACCCGGTGGTGGACACAGAGCACCTTGTACTCTTTTGTTGAAGGCGCAGGTCCAAGAAAATATTCTGAAGCTAGTGATTGGAGTTCTGAAACTGGCAGTCTCAAATGTATCCTTGTTGTTGGATTCAACACCTCAACAGCGCCTTTTAAATCATAGGCGCACACCAAGCCATGGCAGGGGTCTGACATCTGAAACCTACTCGACAACACGAGATCCATTCTTTTGCAGTTCAGTGTGGTGAGATCCAATGTGTACATGCAGACAAGACCCTCATCAACCGAGGTGAAGCAAGCAATGGACTGGTGGGAGCGGAGAGCATTGTTGAGGTGACGATCAACAAAATTGGGTTCTTGAATGCAGTCTCGCCAGAATCTACACACTGTGCGAAACTTGAGAACAACCCTAGCAGGTAGTGAAGCAAGAATGGTGTGCTGGATATCCTGAGGAAGAGATACATTATGCTCATCATTGTTGTCTTCCATGGCTAGCTTGCAAATACAACTGTGAGCAGTACAACTGCAGAAAAGCATAGTCAGCGACAAGGAAAACAACAAAAAGCAAAAAAGTGGTTGGATTTGAATTATGCTGGAACAAGTATGATATACTCCCTCCATTCCCAAATATAAGTCTTTTTAGAGATTTCAACAAGTGACTACATACGGAGCAAATGAGTGAATCTACACTCCAAAGTATGTCTAAAAACATCCGTATGCTGTAGTCCATTTGAAATGTCTAAAAAGACTTACATTTAGGATAACAAAACAAACAGTATTTGTCCACTTGACCATTAGTTCAATAGCATCTGAGCTGAAAATAATTGTGCTAGTGTTTCTACATGAAGCCAGAGTCACTATCAAGAGCGAATGACTTCTTCGAAACTGTATGTAAAAGGTCACACGAAATGACAAGCACTTGTCAAATGTAAAACTGAAACCCAAGACTTTGATCATGATATATTTATATCATGTGGTTAACATTTCAAGAATTTAAATGCCATAATGAATCTATAAAATTTGAGGCTCAAGAAGTTTCTCATGCATATTAAAATATTGTCTTCCTAACATAAGGGGGTCAAACAGAACGAACATGCGAAGCTATACTGATGGAAGAGTGCCCTAATCAAGAGGGAGCTCAGTTGCAGCTCGATGTGCCAATTCCGGTATTATTAGCTTGACCCAAGTGATCTAGCTTCGGTTGCCACTACAGCAAGTGGTCTAGCTAAACCTGATAAATTTTCTATTTACTCAATGTTCCACGTCAACCAAGGTCAGTAGTAAGTTTGTAAAACTTTTCCTGATACCTTGCAGCAGCAGAACATATTTAAGGCAGCCTGCAGAACAGAACGGCACAAGGTTCCATACAAGATTACTTCCATCTACGTATGAAACAGGAAGGAACCAGCATGTTTAGCAGCGATATAATTGCTGACACGCATGATTCGTAAGGAGCCATAGAGCCAGACGACAGAAAACGCCTATGCAATTTCCATCTACTTTATCTTCACGGCTTTGCTGTGATCTTGAACGTACTCTGTGTCTAACTGTTGTGTTCGTGCAAACCCCGCGAACGTAAGTGTTCAATTCCGGCGACCACATGACTACGCCTACGAGCCAAACATCATTTCCGTAGCAACAAGAACTCGTGGCTTGGCTAAGGTCCGGTTAGGAGCTAGAACTCCATCCATTGGATGGGCTAAACTAAGAACATCAGCAAAACAACAAATTCGCAACAGATCCAGTAACATGCGGATACAAGAACTTGGAAGAATCCCGAACTAAAGAGAAATAGCTCGAACTCGGGTAGGGACAGGGCTTACCACAACGAAGAAACGAAATCTTTAGGCCGGGCGGATCTACGTAGGGAGTGATCAGGTTGAGCACGAGAAATGGAGATCCTCGGGGAGACGATGCAGAGCCAGCCCACGGAATACCACTGCGGCGTAGGAGGCAGAGGAGCTGCGGGTCGCGATCAGGCTTGGTCGGCGGTACGAGGAATGGATTGGAAAATGTAGAGCGGCGGTGTAATTGCCAGATTTAGTCAGGAAGAAACCCTAATCTAGAGAGCAATTGGTTGAGCGGCGGCGGAGAAGCGCGGGGTAGGTGCCGACGGCGTCGGGTCGCGCCGTCGTCGCCCCCAGGAAACGCCGACGCCGGCGGAGCGCCGGTGCTGTTCACGACGGTGGCCGTGAGTCGGGGCTCTGGAGGCAAAATCGGAACAGCAGGAGGGCAAAAATATGAAAGTAAGAGAAAAGGCTAATGGTGATTCTGGGAGAAAACTATAAACAGGGTGGCCTATTTATAATTTCCACATCCTTGTTGGAAATCTAGGAGGGGAATGCTTGGCTTTGGGATGCTCCACGCACCGATATTTATATTGAAGGCTTTTGCATTGTGATGATTATATTAAATTTGATAAATTATTTGGTTGTAATACATATCATCAAATACCTCGCTATATGTATTTGATCGTTAGACCTACTCAGGTACTGCCAGCGAATCAGTACATATTTTTCTGTATATGACAGCTAGTCAGAGGAGATTTGTATATATGCCGACAAAAGAGATTTACAGAAATTAAGTCATTATTTGTCAATTAGAGGATTACAATGTAAACTAGGAGGGAAATTTTTGGCTCTCCTGTGCTCCACACACTAATATTTGTATTGAAGGTTCATGCATCGAGATGGTTACATCAAATTCGTTAAATTCATAGTAAATTGTTTGATTATAATACATATTCGATTTATACAATTTACTATGTGAGAGAGAGTTCATGCATCGAGATATAAAGTAGTGTGTGGAGCACAGGAGAGCCAAAAATTTACTATGTGAGAGAGAGTTCATGCATCGAGATTTATACATATAGAGAGTTCATACATCATTTAACTAGGTACAACTCTCTCTCTCTCTCTCTCTCACTTAGTGACAACTGGTAGCAGTAGCTTTGATTGTATGCAAACAAGAGAGATATAAAGTAGTAATTAAGTTTTCTTATCGGTTATAGCGTAATTGGTATGCCTGGCCCAACATTAATTAATCATATGCGTTGAAGGCTTCAGCCCAAAAGTTTAGAGGAGTGTTGTACTCACCTATCATAGTGATGGCTCGAGAATTTGTGACTTTTTATAGAGAGTTTTGACTTGGTTTTCATTGCATTTTCGTTATTTCTCGATTATTTCTAACACTAATCCTTCCGGAGAGAAGAAAACTTGTTTTTCCATTGTTTGGCAGGAAAAATCATTTATGGAAGGAAACCAAGGGGAATTATACGAAATCAAGTCATTTGGAGCAACTTCCAAGTTGAAAGGATTTGCACTAGCGGCAATAGAGCGCAATCGCTCGTACCAGACGTCGTTAGCTCCCCCTCGTCTACGACAACAACTTTTGTGAAGGGCACACACGCATCTGACATACCTAGTCGCCGCCACTCCATAAAGAACGAAGAGAGAAGAACCGCCGGAGGTCCTTCTTGTTTTGTTCTTCCATCTTCATATTCATCTTCATCTCATCATCACTGTTGTAAGAGGAATTCCAAGTTGTAAGATAAGGGTGTATAACTCTATTCATACTCATCTGAAGATTGAGACTTTGTTGAATCATTCATCTTATTGTGGATCTTCACAGTATTATTGATAAGATTTTCATGGAATTATTATCTATGATGATTGGTTACTCTCTTCAGATGCGTGAGTAATTCCCACTAAGCATGGGAGGTTGAGGTGAATGGTAAGATTCATCTGTGCCTATTCTATATGTCAGCATTCGTGTTTGTAGTCTTATGATTTGTCAAGTAAGTTGTTATATTGTGGTAGGTACTATGTGTGTTGTCCAATTTAAGGGCACATGTAACATGATCTAATGACCTAAATAGATAACACATATCTTTTAGAGAATCCGTGACCTCCATGTGACAGGTGGATACATCTATGAGGATCAAAGACAATATGTGATAACGGTGAACCACCGAACGTAATGCATGGTTCCGATTTAACAACCTTAATTATTGAGATGACCATGTTGTGGCAACGTCTAAGCAGGACCATAGTGTGGAATGTAATCCCATGTGAAGGAGTTTCATAACTTAGGGTAATCCGCCTAACAAACAAACAAATCAAATACTAAACTCATGTACAAGGTAACTGGAATTACCGTTGCACTGGCAGACTTGACGTATACCATGATCTGAAGTTTCTCCGCGCCTAACCTCTCTACTACATGAAAATACTTTCACTTACTGTCTTTAATTTATGTTCTTTATTTCCAAGTCCTTATTACTGATGACCCACAAGTGTAGGGGATCTATCATAGTGTTGGGGAACATAGTAATTTCAAAAAAAAATCCTACGCACACGCAAGATCATGGTGATGCATAACAACGAGAGGGGAGAGTGTTGTCCACGTACCCTCGTAGACCGAAAGCGGAAGCGTTAGAACAACGCGGTTGATGTAGTCGTACGTCTTCATGGCCCGACCGATCAAGCACCGAAACTACGACACCTCCGAGTTCTAGCACACGTTCAGCTCGATGACGTCCCTCGAACTCCGATCCAGCCGAGTGTCGAGGGAGAGTTCCGTCAGCACGACGGCGTGGTGACGATCTTGATGTTCTACCGTCGCAGGGCTTCGCCTAAGCACCGCTACAATATTATCGAGCACTATGATGGAGGGGGGCACCGCACACGGCTAAGGGATCAAGAGATCAATTGTTGTGTCTAGAGGTGCCCCCTGCCCCCGTATATAAAGGGGCAAGGGGGGAGGGGGCGGTCGGCCAAGGAGGGGGCGCGCCATGGGGGGTCCTACTCCCACCGGCAGTAGGACTCCCTCCTTTCCTTTTTGGACTTGGAGAAGGAGGAAAGAGGAGGGAGAGAGAGGAAGGAAAGGGGGGCGCCGCCCCCCTCTCCTTGTCCTATTCGGACTAGGGGGGAGGGGCGCATGGCCCAGCCATGGCCGCCTCTCCTCTCTTCCACTAAGGCCCACTATGGCCCATTAAGCCCCCGGGGGGTTCCGGTAACCCCCCGGTACTCCGGTAAAATCCCGATTTCACCCGGAACACTTCCGATATCCAAATATAGGCTTCCAATATATCAATCTTCATGTCTCGACCATTTCGAGACTCCTCGTCATGTTCGTGATCACATCCGGGACTCAGAACAACCTTCTATACATTAAAACTCATAAACTCATAATATAATTGTCATCGTAACTTTAAGCGTTCGGACCCTACGGGTTCGAGAACTATGTAGACATGACTGAGACACGTTTCCAGTCAATAACCAATAGCGGAACCTGGATGCTCATATTGGTTCCTACATATTCTACGAAGATCTTTATCGGTCAAACCGCATAACAACATACGTTGTTCCCTTTGTCATCGGTATGTTACTTGCCCAAGATTCGATCGTCGGTATCTCAATACCTAGTTCAATCTCGTTACCGGCAAGTCTCTTTACTCGTTACATAATGCATCATTTTGTAACTAACTCATTAGTTACATTGCTTGCAAGGCTTATAGTGATGTGCATTACCGAGAG